TCACATCCCCACCAATACTTGTCTGTCTTTTTTATTTTAGTCATCCTAGTGTAAAGTGACATCATTGTGTTCTTTATTTACATTTCCTGATGCCAATAATATTTAACATCTTTTCATTTTCTTCTTGGCCATTTGTATATCTTCTTTGGGGAAATGTCTATTCATATCCTTCACCCATTTTAAAATTAGATTTTCTGTCTTTTTATTAAGTTGGAAGAGTTCTTCATATATTCTGAATCTAAATCCTTTATCATGTCCAGGAATATATATACATCTTTCCATTTAGGTTTTTAATTTCTTTCAGCAATGTTTTATATTTTTCAATGTACATATCCTGTGCTTCCTCTGTTTAATTTATTCCTAAATGTTTTATTGTTTTTGATGCTAATATAAAAGGAGTTGTTTTCTTAATTTCATTTTTGTATTTTTAAATGGCCACTGTACAGACATTTAACTGATTTTGATCTTATATCCTCAACCTTGCTGAAATCATTTATTAATTCAGTTTGTGGGGTTTTTTTTTAGTGCGTTTGTAGACTTCTAAAGTCGGTCTTCCTTCCTTCCTTCCTTCCTTCCTCCCTCCCTCCCTCCCTCCCTCCCTCCCCTCCTTCCTTCCTCCCTCCCTCCCTCCCTCCCTCCCCTCCTTCCTTCCTCACTTCCTTCCTTTACTTATTGTACTAGGAATTTAACCCAGCCCCTCCCCTTTCTTTTAATTTTGAGACAGATTCTCACTAGGTTGCTTAGGGCCTTACTAAGTTGCTGAGGCTACCCTCAAACTTGCAATCTTCCTGTCTCAGCTCCCAGAGTTGCTGGGATTACAGGCATATACCACTATACCTGACGAGGATTTTCTATACAAAACTGTGTCATCTATGAACAGAAATTTTACTTTCTCCTTTCCAATCTGGATGCCCTTTTTTCTTTTTCTTGCTTAATAGTCCTGACTAGATGTATTGTTGTATAGAAGTAGAAAGAGTAGACATTCTTGTATTCCTGAATAGAAGGGAAAGCAATCCAGTTTTTTGCCATTGTGATGTTACTCTTGAATTGCATGTTGTTTTTATATTTTTTTAAAAAAGTTCTTTTGAGAATCAGATTTTTAAAATTTATTTATTTATTTATTCTAATTCGTTCTATATGACAGCAGAATGCATTTTGATTTGTAGTACACAAATGGAGCACAATTTTTCATTTCTCTGGTTGTACACGAAGTAGAGTCATACCATTCGTGTCATCATACATGTACCTAGGGTAATGATGTCCATCTCGTTGTACCATTTTCCTACCGCCCATCCCCCCTCCCTTTCCCTCTCCCCCCTTTGCGCTACCAAAGTTCCTCCATTCCTCACATGCCCACCCACCCCCATTATGGATTAGTATCCACTTATCAAAGAAAACAATCGGCCTTTGGTTTTTTTGGGATTACCTTACTTTGCTTAGCATGATATTCTCCAACTCAATCCATTTACCTGCAAATGCCATGATTGTATTCTCTTTTAATGCTGAGTAATATTCCATTGTGTATATATACCACATTTTCTTTACCCATTCATCTATGGAAGGACATCTAGGTTGAATTCACAGTTTAGCTATTGTGAATTGTGCTGCTATAAAAAAACATTGAAGTGGCTACATCACTGTAGTATGCTGTTTGTATGTCCTTTAAGTATAAACTGAGGAGTGGGATAGCTGGGTCAAATGGTGGTTCCAGTCCAGGTTTGCTCAGGAATCTCCATACTGCTTTCCATATTGTTTGCACCAATATGCTGTCCCACCAGTGATATGAATGTATCTTTTCCTCCACATCCTCACCAACACTTATTGTTGTTTATATTCTTGATAACTGCCAGAGAATCAGGTTTTTTTAAACTCTTAATTCAATATCATTCGGTTGATGTTTGTTTTTTAGTGACCACCTTAGGAAAATAAAATTTACATCATTGCTTCTAGATAATGTTTTGTAAGTAAACAAGTAGAGATAGAACATAATAGCACGTCTGTTTCCTTTCTAGGAGGTGAGAATTAGTGTGGCTTCTTTAATCTAGCAGATGGGCTTAGCTTGGATTCAGGATGGGTCCATGTGATACTTGCCTGCTATCTTTATTTCAATGTATTTTGTTCAGTGAATACTCTTAGAATGTCTACTCTGTGCCGGGACTATTCTACTCATTGAGAGTGTAGCAAGAAATAAGTCAGCCCAGGTGTCTACTCTTGGGGCTTTTTTTTTTATATTTATGAATAAATGTAAATGGATTGTTCCATGTTTTGAGATAGGTTAAGTCAGTATCATCATTTTTTAATTGACAAGAATTTTGTATAAATAAGATTCTTTGTTGGTACACTACTAAATGTATGATACTATAAAACACTGATGGAAGGTTTAGGAATATATTTATAATCACAGCTACTTTTACCAGGAACTATGGAGTGTGCCTATAGTCCTGGTTACTGAGGAGGTTGAGGCAGAAAGATCACATGAACCCAGGAGTTCAAGATAACTGGGCTTAGGCAACAGAGTGGGGCCACATTAAAAAAAAAAAATTTAGCTGCTTTTATTTTCAGATGGAGAGCTGGTCATTAAACAGTATATACATTATTTCTGTGTTTGTTGGTATAGAACTTGCCTGATATGTTTTCCTGTGCCAGATACTCTTCAAAAGTATTACAGTTTAGTAGAGAGGATAATATGTAGAGAAGGAAAGAAATGAACCAGCATTTATTTTGTACTATTTGTCAGAAATTACATTGATGCTTTACCCCTACTAATCCTCAAAATCCCCTTTTAAGGAAGGTATCGTTACTATGGATTTATCATGAGGGAGCTATGCTCTGAAAAGTTAATTAATTTTCTAAATGTCACACTAGTGGTGTATACATAATTAATTAATATAGGATAGTTGCCATATTAATATGATTTTATAAGAATTTTAAAGAAGCAACAACATTTTCTAGTTGTATTAGGAGGAAAGCCAGCATATGAATTGGAAGGACATGGATGCCAAGGATGTCAGGGTATGAGAAATTACATTCCAGTTGTAGGAAATTGTATATACATGCAAGCCCATGTGTTCTAAATATTTTTATTTCCAGCTGCCTAAAGTCAGCAGTTTAATGGCCTCTTTCTCACCAGAAGTTGAAGTGTGAGTGTCTAACCTGTGATTGGGTACAATGCCTTGAAGAGGAGTTTGGCTCAAGTTTATTTAAGATGCCTCTGGTGTGTGAATTGTTGTGGGCTGCTGTGCAAAGGACCTATGAGAAGGTCCTTAAGTGAGTGTACTCAGAAGTCACAGGCTCTTGAGGGCACAGACTCTCTAAGAATGTTTCCACTGTGCACTCAGTGGACAATGAGTACAGTGAGTTCTCTTCTTGGGAGCCTCTGGTGTGGATGTCTTTTCCCTTATTGCAGGCTTCCTGATCTTTCTTATAGCACATGGAGGTTTCCCTTGGAATTATTCAGAAACTATGAGAGTTAGGTAAGAGAATGGGTCCACAACCCAAAGTAGTATTCATATAGCTCACTCCTCCACCATATTTGGTTCCAGCTGAAATCAAATAAAAGGATTAGGACTTGCTACCAGCAAGGAAAGAAAATCCCTGCCCTACCCCAACCCACTGATTTTTGAACAGCATTAGTACCTTCTAACTACTCCAACAACAGTTTGGAATAGTGCCTCCCAAGCATCCTACTTTATTGGGAAGAAAACATAAGAGCTCTGTGGAGCCAGAGGACCAGGCTGTCTTCCTGAGCCCCACCACTTCCCACCTGCATATGAGCCCTTAGGCAAGGTACTTCGCTACCCTAAACTCACTCTTCTCATCTGTTAAATAACCTAAAACACAGGATGTACGGGAGGTCGGACCATAGTTGGGACTCCATCAAAGTTAGCTACTCTCATGAGTATTAGCTTTCTACCCTAAGAGCTTTGTAATGTTTTGGGAATCTTAAAGCACCATGATAACATGAGTTTTTTTTCTGGAGCAACTTATAGCACTAGAGTTATTAAGTTCACTCACGCTTGGGATCCATCACCCCCAACTCCTACTTCACTTGTGACCCACTCAGTCCATTTCCTGCTTTCATTCACCTTTGAATTTTTTTATATTTATTTTTTAGTTATAGGTGGACAAATAACTTTATTTTATTTTTATGTGGTGCTGAGGATCGAACCCAGTGCCTTACACATTGTAGGCGAGTGCTTTACCTCTGAGCCACAACCCCAGACCTTTGGATTTATGAATAAGATTGGACTGGGAATGTAGATCAGTACTATAGCACTTAGTACCTTCTAACTACTCCAACAACAGTCTGAGGCCTTGAGTTGCATCCCTAGTGCCTCATGAAAAAAATGAAAGCCAGCTCTCATTCTCCATCTCCTATAGACTAAAGAGCTGGTAAGCCTCTCAATATCCCCTCTGCCTCATTCTATCACCAGTTAGCCACAGAGATTTCTATGAGGTAGGAAGTTTAGTGCAGAATTTTAAGTTTTGAATAACCATAGCTGTCCTTAATGTTCAATACTACCTATTGCTTGCCTCATCAGGTAGGTTAATTTGCATATCACTGGGCTGGTGGTGCATGCCTACCATCCCAGCTACTGGAAAAGCTGAGACAGGAGGATCTCAGATTCAAGGTCAAGTCTGAGCAATTTAGTGACATTCTGGGCTTGGTGGCACATGCTTATAATCCCAGGCTCAGGAGCTGAGGCAGGAGGCCAGCCTCAGCAATTTAGAGAGGACCTAAGCAACATAGCAAGACCCTGTCTCAAAATAAAATATAAAAAAGGTTGGGGAGGTAGCTCAATGGTTAAGCACCCTGCCCCACCCCCACCCCAAAAAAAAGGATTGGGGTTGTAGCTCAGTAGTAGAATACCCCTGAGATCAGTTCCTAATATAGTGCTGTGGAGACTTATATGTCAGTGATATTCACATTTTTGTGAGAAATAATCAAAGACATCCTTGAGATGCATGGTTTTAAAATCTCCCATCTTTTTTCTCCTTAGGTTTCTCTTCCCTAAGTGTCTTGACCAGTGTTCACAAGGTGAGCAATATGCTTTACTTCCTGCTTGCATGCCTTTTACATTCTATTCATCGAAACAGACTACTGCTACCATTCTGAAATCTAAAACAAACCAACTCGGCCCAGAGAAAACTTTGACATATTTCTTTTATCATATTTGGTAGACAGATTTCTTGTGTTAATGGCAATGAACTGCCATAGCAGCACCACTCCTGAACTCAGGTCTGCCCTGGCCTTTCAGCTAATATCAGTCGACTGAGGAGGTATTCCTAGCCTCTGGATCAATAAGATCTTGACACACTGCTTCTGTTCCAAGAGTGCAGAGATTGACCCAGCAGAAACTGTCTTCCTTAATGTCCTCCTACACACATTGGAATTTTCCACACCTCCTTGAAAACATTTAGAAAAATCCACCCATCCTGCAGGTTTCATTCCATGTGTCATTGTCCTACTACCTAGCAACCCTGGAAGCTACACTTTTAGTCATATTATCTGTGATTGCCTGGAGATGCAGAATAAATTGTAAATTCCCTGCAGTGGTGTTGAAATGCTCTTTGTTGTTAGGAGATATGCCTGGGGGCTAGTCTCCCTGAGCCAGCCCAGCAAGCAGAAATCTGATGGAAGAAAACAACTCAGAGTCCCCAGCATGGTTGTGCCCTGCTGTTCCCATTGCCAGTACACAGGAAGCAGAGACAACAGCATACCAGAGCTGTTGTCTTGGGAAACAGCTAAATTGGGTGCTGCCCAGGGCAGGAGACTAGTCCCTGTGGGGGGAGGGATGTGCATGTTAGACTGCTAAACCAGGTAGCAGCTTTTAGAGACCCCTTTTACTTTCCATGCACTATGCCCCAGAGGCAGGCTAGGAATGGAGGTTGACTGGGACCATCTATAGTGTCTACCTCAGGCAGATTAAGGAGACTATATGGAGTTCAGGTCCTTAGGATCTGGTGACAGACTAGATATGGAGTATGAGTTGGAAAAAGAGGTGTCTAGGGTAACTCCTGGGTTTCCAGCTTAGGAGACTGGGGAGGTTGGTTGTACCTGTTCTTTAAATAGAAAACACAAGAGAGGAGACAGCCTAGGAAGGTGGGTGAAAAGAAGGGGATAGTAGCTAGAGGGCAGTGTTCTCAGAATTGTTATTTCTTGGGGTTGGGGTTGTTGCTCAGTGGTAGAACGCTCTCCTGGGATGTGTGAGGCAAGTGTTTGCCTGATCAATGGTACTGCCAAGACACTGGGTTAGATCCTCAGCACCACATTTAAAAAAAAAAAAAGGTACTGTGTCGATATACAACTAAAAAATAATATTAAAAAAAAGATTTGTTATTTCTGGTTGAGCATAGTGATATGGTAGCCTGTAATCCCAGCTACTCAGGAGGCTAAGGCAGGAGGAGGATGGTAAATTTGAGGCTAGCCTGGTCAATTTAGTGAGACTCCATCTTGAAATAAAATATTTTAAAAGGGATGGGGATGCAGCTCAGTGATCCAGCACTTTCCTACTTTGCATGAACCCCTGTATTCAATCCCCAGTACCACACACAAAAAAGAAAAATTGTTATTTCTGAATAATTTGCTCCTTCCTGTTTGCTGAAGAGAAGGGCCAAGGCCATGGGAAGATAACTAAACTTGATAGAAGTAGTCTCTAGGGGGTCCAAAGCTCAGATTGGAAGTAAAGGTTGACTTAGAAAACTAGTGTCTTCCAGGGAAGTTGAGGAAGTGTTTGCCTGATTAATGGTACTAGCCAGTAGTTGTGCCAAGACTTCCAAGGCCCTGTCTTATTCTTTTTAGTGTTGGTGCCATCTTCTCCTTGGCACTTTCTCCTACAGGCCCTCTCTACTTTTTTATATGAAGGACAACACATATGGTTAAGCTTCCTTGGCAGACAGCCTTAAAGAAATATTCTGTCTTCATTGTCCATGAACCTTGGGCAACCCTGGGCCTGTATCCAAAAAGGAAAGACCCTTTAATTCGAATCCTTCTAGGCTGAGTGAGGCTGAGTTCTCTCTGGCACTTGTAGGTATATTTCCTTAATGCTGCCTTCCAACACATTGTTCAAAGATGATATGTGAGCCAGGCATGGGGGTGCATGCCTGGAATCCCAGTGATTCAGGAGGCTGAGGCAGGAGGATCACAAGTTCAAGAACAGTGTCAGCAATTTAGTGAAACTCTAAGCAGCTTAGTCTCAAAAAAAAAAAAAAAAGAAAGAAAGAAAGAAAGGGCCAGGGATGTAGTTCAGCGGTAGAACCCCCTGGGTTCAATTTCTAGTACCAAAAAAACTCCCAGCAATATATGTCAAATGCTGTGCTTACATAAAGCTAGAGATGTGGACAGATGACACCATATATATTGTTTTCTGAACAAGAGTCTCATCGAGTGGCAGTGCCTTGGTGAATACTTTCCCTTAGCATCTAGGTCCACAGGACCCTATGGTGTGTCCTGACTTTGTCTTGCCATGGGCAGGGGCAGTCTGGGGAGGGTGGAGATAAAAGGCAAAAATTTCTTTTCTCCTTGGCCATTTGATGGCTTGCTTGGAGAGGAAATCTACCATCAGTGGGCAACTGCTTCATGTCCCAAGGGAGCATATTGCCTCCTTTTGCTTCTGTTCATGAGTCAGGCTTGCTGATTCATTGCTTTTTAACAACAAAGGATTATTTTATGATGAGAAAAAAGGCTATGTTGTAGCCCCAGGATGACTTATCTTACACAAATCCAAGGACTAGGAAATAATCTCGATGCTTAAAACAGCAAACAAGGTTCATTATAATGCTGGCTTGCAAGCAAAGTGGAGATATTTTACTGCTGTGGCCTGCTTTTAGAAGCATATGTAGATAAAAGAAGTGAACTTCATTTTCTCCTGGACTGCTAGAGGTCTTTAGCCCAGTCTAGATGGTCAAGAAGGCTGCAAGGCTGTGTTTTTCTACTCTTAGGAATAGACCAGCCCAGGCTTCCTGATCACTCACAGCACAGATTGGTGAGAGCTTGGCATAATCTGAATGTCCACTCCTTGATTCAGAACAGAAGGAAGCTCCTGGCCCAGCCAAGGTGAAAACTCACTATGGCCTGTTTATGTTCCAGATAACTGCTGTACCTGCCTTGCAGATGGCATTTCCTCTTGGCAGGTGGCAGTTTACATAGCTGGCCTAAGGAATGCTGAGGATAATCCTCTAGCTTGTTTCCCTATAAAGCAAAGTCTTTTTTACATGCCCAGTTCCTGACCTAGAATCCCAACCCCACAAGATTTATCCATACATGTGCACAGATAGGACTTTGGACAGTATATTCCTGTCAGAGACCCAGATCCTAGTCTTTTCTTGGGCTGGCCAGAGTGGGCTTGTGCTCCTCGTGTATATTGTTCAGGTGGAAAATTTGCACTAGAGTTTTACTCTCCTATTTATTTTGCATAAGATGATACCAGAATCCCCAGGCCTTTATAGATCTTTACTCAACCTTTTCTGGATCCTCACTCTAAGACCCACGACAGTCTTCTTGTCTTTGACCCCTGCGAATCTTGCAGGCCACTTGTAGGATCCAGCTCCCATGGTTGCCATCCCCAGAAAATATTGAACCTTCCAGATTCCTGCTCATGTGCCATATTTTGGGGATGGCCTCCTGACCTTTGCTTTACTCAGTTTCCAAAGGCTCCAGTGACTTTCTGTGGCTACAGCAAGGCATGGGGTTGTGACACCAAGCTTTCCAGGCTGGCCTTGCTGTTCCTCTGCAGTCTCCAGAGTGACCTTCCTAAATGGAAATGGAAGCACAGGCACCACCAGTGTCACGATACGGAGGCTTCCATGGCACTGGCCAAGGAAGGTCCATCTTTTTCTTTTTCTTTTCCTTCATTTTTCTTTTTGGTACCACGGACTAAACCCAGGGGTACTTAGCCACTAAGCCACATCCCCCGCCTTTTAAAAAATTTTTTTAAAATTTTGAGACAGGGTCTCACTAAGTTGCTCAGGGCCTCATTAGGTTGCCGAAGCTGTCTTTGAACCTGCAGTCCTCCTGCCTCAACTTCCTGAGCCACTGGTATTATAGGCATGCACCACTGTGCCCAGCAGGAAGGTCCATCTTTTTTTTTTTTCTCAGTTGTCAATGGATCTTTATTTTATTTATATGTGGTGCTGAGAATCAAACCCAGTGCCTCACACATGCTAGGCAAGTGCGCTACCACTGAGCCATAGCCCCAGCCCGGGAAGGTCCATCTTATGTGAAAATTTCTGAACAGAAAGGACACATGAGGAACCTTTATAAAATGGAAAAAAAAAATGAGATGCTGAGGTATTCTCCATTTGAATTACCTTAGTCATGTGCTGCTAACACGACTAGGTTATATACAAAGCACTGAAGGATAGAATTTTAGTGTTGGAGAAGCTCTTAAGAAAACAGTGATCCTGAACTGGACATAGTTGTGCACACCTATAATCCCAATCACCAAGGGGGCTGAGGCAGGGGGATCATAAGTTTGAGACCAGCTTGGCCCACTTAAGCCATACTCTGTCTCAAAATGAAATATAAAAAGAGCTGGGAATGTGGCTCAGTGGTTAAGTGCCCCTGGGTTCAATTTCTGTACTACAAAAAAAAAAAGAAAGAAAGAAAGAAAATATTCATGAGACATAAATTTGAACATGGATTGGATGTTTTTATATTAAGGAATTTATTGTTAATCATTAATTTTTTTAAAGAGTCCTAAATTGGGTTTGGTTTGGAATATAGCTTAAAAGTACAACACTTGTCTACTTGTCCAGTGTGTATGAGGCCCTGGGTTCAACTCCTAACACACACACACACACACACACATGCATGCACACATACAAACACACACACACACACACACATCTTTTTATTATGGAGATATATACTGAAATATTTTGGGATGAAATATTTGGATATTTGCAGTTGGCTTCAAAATCATCCAGTGAGGGAGGTGGGAAAAAAATTGGGATATTGAATAGATGAAATGTGATTAGCCAAGTCTTGCTAATTATTATTTATTTATTTATTTTATGTGGTGCTGAGGATCAAATCCAGTGCTTGACATGTGCTAGGCAAGCACTCTACCACTGAGCAACAACCCCAGCCCCAGTCTTGCTAATTCTTTTTTTTTTTTTTTTAACCCGGGACTTGTGCATGCGAGGCAGGCACTCTACCAACTGAGCTATATCTCCAGCCCCATCTTGCTAATTCTTGAAGCCAGACAATGCTTGTTGATTTTACTATTTTACTATATGTTTGAAATTTTTATAGTAAGAAATAAATAAAATTACTGAATAGCAAAAATTCAAATGATCTTACTGCAGAAATGCTGTATATTCTATGATTGTAACTATAAAAATAGGACTATATTTGGAAGAAGTATTATAATTATTTTGGGTTGGTGGGTTATGGTACCTTTCTGACTTAGAAATTCTCCATAGTCTTGGGAATTTTATGTCTGTATTTGTACAAAAAGGTTGTGAGGGATCTGATTGGGCCTACTTCACAACTTTTTCTTACCATATCACTATGAACATCTGTCTTGGAATTATGTGGCTCCTTGGCTGTGCAATTTTTGATAATATATTGGTTAGTACATCTATATGGTTAGTGGTTGGTAAGTAAATGTATGAATGTAAATGGTACCAATTTGTGATCAGATTAACTACAGGGAATATGGAAAGGCTCCTTAATCAAAAACTGTAGGTAACAGCCAGAAAGCTGAATTAAGATTGGAAAGGTTAGGAAATGAAGTAGCTACAGATCTGGAGTCGGGGGAAGAAATGATGGCTAGATATATCTGTGTGTTTATACCAGGAAGCTACCGAAAGGGATGATCAGGGGAAGGAACACACATTTGTGTGAGTTCTGAAAGCTGAACTCTTCTTGGTTTTGTTTCACAGGCCTGGTGAATAATGTGGTGTTCACCAGTCACACCACGGAACAGAGGCACCCCCTCCTTGTTCAGTTACAGAGTCTCATCAGGGCTGCCAATCCTACCACAGCCTTCATTCTTGCAGAAAATGGCATTGTCACCAGGTAAACTTTCACAGACTCCACTCTGCAGGACCAGCCCCTTTCTCAGATTTCTGCTTTATTGGAGTCCTGATCCCACAAGGCCTTTCCATTGTATCTAAGACCTGAGCATTTATAAGTTTTTGAAGTGTTTTTGACGTTCTGTAAAAGTCACCAAAAAGACCTTATGTCAGTTTCCTACACTATTTTGAGGCATTTTGTTTGGTTTTGGTATCAGGGATCAGCACAGGGACACCCAACCACTGAGCCACTTCCCCAGTCCTTTTTTATATTTTATTTTGAGACAAGGTCTCGCCAAATTACTTAGGGCCTTGCTAAATTGTGGCATTTTGTTTTAAGGCATTCGTATTCCATACATTAAAGAATGGAAGTCAAGACTGTCTCAGTGTTACTTGTGTTAAGATATGAGTGAAGCTGGAAATATAACTTAAGAGCACTTGCCTATCATGCACAATGTAGGTTCAGTCCCACATACTAGGGGGAAAAAAAAGATATGAGAGAAATGGCATAGAAAACAGAGAAATTATCTCTTCATGTTAGTTTTGGGTGCAAATAATAACACGTGCTAGGCAAGCACTCTACTACTGAGCCACAACCCCAGGCCATCCTATTTTATCATATATATGAATCTCTTGGGAATCTTGTTAAAATTAATTTCTAATTCAGTGGATCTGGAGTAGGACCTGAGATTTCACATTTCTAATAAGCTCCCATGTGATACCACTGCTGATCATATATAATATTACATTCCTTGGGTGTGATAAAAGCATGGTAGTCCTGTAAGAGAATACCCTTGTTCTTAGGAAATGCACACTGAATGTCATGATGCTTACAAGTGATTTTCACATGGTTTGACAGAAAAAAATTACATGCATGCGTGCTTATGTATATGTGGGGGTGTGGGGAAGAAGCAAATTATGCAGGTTAAGATTGACAATTCTAATTGACTTGGGTCTTTTCTAAATGTTTTCAAAGGAATGAAGACATTGAGCTGATTCTCTCAGAAAATAGTTTTTCAAGTCCTCAGATGCTGCGATCCCGATATTTAATGTACCCTGGCTGGCAAGTATCATTACGAAGTAGCTAAAATTTCTTTGGAAGCCTAACAATCTGTTTATTTACAGAAAAAAAAGAGAGAGAAAAAAATGAATATATCAGATATGCTGTACACAAGTGATACATGTTTGTTGGAATGGTGTGCCATGTCCCAGATACTGTTCTTGCTGAGAGCCCAATATTTCATGTCTTGAGATCTAAACTGGAAGCCTTCCTAGATATTGAGATTTAAGGCACCTATCTTGCAGGCATCAAGCACAACAGGATTCTGTATTTCCTCTGGCCACTAGAAAGGGTGAGGTGACTGGCATGGAACATTACAACTTCCCAGGTGAGAGAATCTCTCCTGAGAGTAAGTCAGTCAGTCCTCTACTTCCCAGCTGAGAGGTAGGTTCCCTACTGATGAGGCCAGGGCTTGTTTTCTGCAAACTACATGTCAGCCTGAAAACCTCTGCAGAGGGGAAAGGAGGGAAGAGAGTGTACAAAGTCCACCATAATTGTAGTAATACCAGCATAACGTGAGAACTCACTGTGAGTGCTAGGCCTTGTTCTAAGACTGCACTTTCCAATGTGGCCACCACTAGCTATGTGACTATTTTATGTAATACAAATATAAATGAATAAAAATCGAAATTGATAATTCAGTCTCTTAGTCACACAGCCACATTTCAAGTGTGCCAAAGCTGCCTATGGTTAGCAGCTACCATATGGGACATTGTAGATCCAGAACACTTCCATTATTCCAGAAAGTTCTGTTGGGCAGTGCTGCTCTGAAAACATTGCCTGTGTTGTGTCATTTAACCTTTACACCAAACCCACAAAATGGATTCCATTATTTTCCACATTTTATAGGTATAGACAACAAGGAACAAAATGACTTGTTTAAAAGTTATAGTTAGTAAATAAAAGAGTTGGATTGCAAACCCAGGTTGTCTGGCTTCCAAGCCTTTTCTCTTAACCCTTGTGCTATACCTGTTCCTATACAGAATGGACAGTTCATTTATGCTCTGTTGAAAGTTTGGGGAAGACAATGTTAGAGCTTTGTCTGGCTTATCTTTGTTATCTTTACTCACTTTTCCCAGGCCCTCAATTGTTTGTACTAAAACTGATTGTACTGTGCTATAAAGAAAAAAAAGTGTGTGGGGGGTGCAGCTCAGCCTGGTGGCACATACCAGTGATCCCAGTGACTCAGGAGGCTGAAGTAAGAGGATTGTAAGTTTGAGGCCAGCCTCAGCAATTTAGCAAAATGCTGAACAGCTTAGTGAGATTGTCACAAAATAAAAAGGGCTAGTAGTAGAGAATCCCTGGGTTCAATCCCCAGTACTACAAAATAATAATAATAATAGGCCAGGCATGGTGGTGCACAGGAGGATCACAAGTTCAAAGCCAGCCTCATCAACTTAGCGAGGCCCTGAACAACTCAGCAAGATCCTATCTGTAAATATAATATTAAAAAAATGGGCTGGGGATGTGACTCAGTGGCTAAGGGCCCCTGGGTTCAATTCCTGATAACAAATAATAATTATTTTTTTAAATAAGGTAACTCATATGGTAACTATACAAATAAAGGTAATATAGTTATCTAAATATGATACAATACGATAGGTGAGGAGAAAGTATTTGCATTACATGTAGCAAAGGTATAATACAATATTTGGGAAACTTGGTTAGATGTTTAGAAAAGGACCAGGAGGGGTAGCACACACCTATAATCCCAGCAACTCCAGAGGCTGGGGCTGGAGAATCACAAGTTCAAGGCTAGCCTTACCAATTTAGCAAAGCTGTAGGGCATTTAATGAGAACCTTCTTAAAATAAAAAAATAAGAAGGGTTGGGGATGTAGCTCATTGGTAGAGTGCCCCTCGGTTCAATCCAGTCCCAAAAAACAAAACAAAACAAAAAAGACCCCAGGTCATATAGATGAGAACAATTCACTTAAGAGCAAGTGTAAATAGCAATCATGGAAACAGAATTCAGTGCAATAACATTCAGAAATGTTAAATGGTATATAGTATATAACAACACTTAGAGACCCAAGTACTTGTACTCATTATTTTGATTGACACTATATTCAATCAAAAATACTTATAATATTCATCTCCTGAGAAATTGTTGTGAAACTAGTATACTTGCCTGCTGCTGGGGGTGGTATAAATTTTTACTCATGCAATGGTTACACCCTTTGCTGGAGTGAATCCAGTCATGGGGATTCATTTCAAGGAAATAATTCAAAAGAAGGACTAACAATTCCTCAACTGTGGAAGCAAGTAATGAGTACATAAGGCCTCATTATACTACCATAGTTCTACCTTTTTTTGTGTTTGACATTTTCCATATTAGAAAGTTGGGCTTTTTAATACTGTGGATATGACCACATATTTGTAAAAAAAGCTACATACCAGCCCTTTTTAGTTTTTATTTTGAGAGCGGATCTCTCTAAATTACCTGGAGTATCCTCAAATTTTTAATCCTCTGGTCCCAGCCTCCCCAGTAGCTGGGATTATAGGTGTGGGATACCATACCCAGATGACCATGCTCTTAATGAATCTGTGACAGGCATTGTGTCTGCTGAACTGAGAAAATACAGCCTGTCATTTCCTTTTAGAGAAAATATTAATCCACATGTACAGTCTGTTAAGCTGCCCACAAGGAGATGGTAGGGCATGGTTAGAGCCCTGCAGGGGCTGGGGGAGGATTTAAACAATTAAACATTTAAACAATTGTTTTATATGTAGAATGGCATACAAGTAAAGGAGAATTAAATATTATAGGATAAATGATATACAGTTTATCCCAAAGTAGTATATAACAACACTCAGAGACCCAAGTACTTGTACTTAAATTTTTTTTAAACATTTAAAGGTATGAAGGTAAATTCAATTCTGGATCAGTCTTCCCACTGATGGTTCAGATCTGCGTATGGTTTGGCCGTCCCTTGGAGAAAACTCGCTTTGTGGCCAAGTGTAAAGGTGAGCCTTGGCTGGGACATCTCCCAGACCCCGTGAAAAGGGTACCCCAGACTGTCCTGCTCCCTGGCACCATTTCAGTATCCTATGTGCTGTCTTCTCACATTTGTGACCAAAAGCAGCAGAGGGATTTGAGGACCCAGGAATCCCCTATTTCTGATCTTGTGATGCCATAAAATTTGATCTCCACTCCACTGGAAAAGTTTTCCCATTCTTGGAAATAGTGGCAGAGGCCCAAGGAACAAGAGGGTGGGAATAGAAGCTATGAATCCTAGACCTGGAATAGGGTCCTCCCCAGTTCCTAACCCTCCCAGATGTGCCACCCTGGACTTAGCCTCTGCACCCAGGTGGTGACCCTGTCCTCTTCCTCCACCAGCAATTCAGTCCTCCATCAAGCCAAGTCCCTTCTCTGGAAACATCTACCACATCCTGGGCAAAGTGAAGTTTTCAGGTAACTGGGGGGTTAAATTTGGGAACCCTACATCATGAAGTGCTTACAGCTTGTGACAAGAGTTCATAGCCTCTGCTGGTACATTGTAGACCACTGATGCCTCTCCAAATCTCTAGCACCCTCTTCTGGGCCTCCTACCATCAGAGTGCTTTTCCCCAAGGACCCACTTTCCTTAAATTATCTTGCACCACAGTGGAGTTTCACCCTCATCATCTGGGATCACCCCTGGATGACCTGCTCAGTCCTCTCCTCACAGTTCCTTAATTTCCTTGTTGTAAAGACTCACACCCCACCATGGCTTCCTCCTAGACATGTTACCAGGAGCTGCCCAAAGTTGATCTCTCTGGCTCCCAATCTGTGTATGACCAAAGTCTTTGAGCCTTCTAACTTGCCTTCTCCTTCCTTCTGTTGGCAGGCCCATTCTTCAGCCTTAGACCCCTGCCCTTGTGACCTCAAAATCAAACCTGGACTGGGGGCCAGATAAGGCCTCAAAACTAGGAGTTGGGCCTGGCACGGTGGTGCACGCCTAGAATCCCAGCGGCTCTGGAGGCTAAGCCAGGAGGATCGCGAGTTCAAAGCCAGCCTTAGTAAAAGCAAGTCGCTAAGCAACTCATTGAGACCCTGTCTCTAAATAAAATATAAGATAGGGCTGGGGATGTGACTTAGTGGTCAAGTGCCCCTGAGTTCAATCCCCAGTACCAAAAAAAAAAAAAAAAAAACCTAGTAGGAGCTGGCCAACTCAATGTTGAGGAAGGGGAGAATATACCAGGTTAAAGGCACAGTATTTGCTGTAGCCCAGAGGCAAAAAAAAGGAGCATTTCAGGAACCAAAAGGGGTTTACTGGGGTTTACTGGGGTTGGAGCCTGAGAGAAGGGAGTTGGGGAGGGTTTCTGCTAAGGTGCCTGTAGCTGTTATGACAGAAAAAAGTCCAAACTCAAGCCAGGCATGATAACGCATGCCTGCATTTCCAGGTTCTTGGGAGGCTGAGGCAGGAGAAATGATTGCAAGTTTGAGGCCAGCCTCAGCAACTTAGTGAAACCCCGTCTCAAAAAAAACAAAACGTGTTGGAGATTTAGCTCAGTGTTAGAGCACTTGCGTAGCATATGCAAGGCTATGGGTTCAATCTTCAGTACCACAAAAAAAGAAAAGAAAAGAAAAAGAAAAACCCCAGCCCCCAACTCAACTAGCATTTGTTGGCTGTTTTGCAAGAAGTCAAGAGGCTGACTAGCAGAACAAAGCCTCTGAGGCCAGGTAATGTGTGTCTGTGTGTTCATCCATTCTTGTAAGTACTGCACTAATCAGTTGTGCCCCCAGAGCTCCTCTTTCTTCCATTTAAAAAATCTTATTTATTTATTTCATATGTAGATGGATAGTCTGCCTTTATTTTATTTATTTATTTTTTAATATTTATTTTTTAGTTGTAGTTGGACACAGTACCTTTATTTGATTTATTTTTATGTGGTGCTGAGGATTGAACCTGGTGCTTCACATGCGCTAGGCAAGTGCTCTATCACTGAGCTTATAGTCCCATCCCCACTTTCTTCTTTTCTTAACATGTCAACTTGTCCTAAGGTTCCTGGCCCTCATGGTTGCCAGGTAGTGCTGCAGGCCTAGGTGTCAGCCAGATACTGTATCCAGCAAATAGAGGCTGGCTCTTCCTGTGGGTATCCCTCTACCCACACAGCAGTACAGGGGATCAACCCAGGGTCTCACATATACTCCATAAGCATTTTAATATTAAGCTATACCCCCAGGGTTTTTTTTTTTAATTTTTTTATTGAGATGGGATCTCATTAAGTTGCTGAGACTGGCCTTGAATTTGTGATCTTTCTGCCTCAACCTCCTGAGTAGCTGGGATTACAGGCAAGCCCTACCATGCCCAGCTCCTGTGGGTATCTTTGTCAATGCAGACATCTCTCCTCTTACTGTCCTTCAAGGGCTTCAGGTGAAGAGTCAGTCTTCTCTTCTTCTTATCTAAAAACCTTTTTTCCTCTTATATTATCCTTCCTGATTAATAGTGTCCATCTAATCACCCAAATCAACCATGCCTGAACTTTCTTTTGCTTCTTCCTCTCTTACTGCATCTTTTCTAACTTAACAGCAGTCACATCAGTTCTCCCTTCTGTACTTTCTTAGGAATCTGTTCCAACCATCTGCATTGTTAGTCTTAGTATAGCCTTATCCTTTCAGAGTAGTGTCTCAGGGACAAACCTATATTCTCCTTGCAGACTCTGAAAGGACCATGGAGGTCTGCCACAACACTCTGGCCAACTCCCTGAGCATCGTGCCAGTTTTGGATGGACCCACACCACCTTCTGACTCAAGAAGTACACCTCAAGACAGCAATGGACAACAAGAGTGCTACCTGGTGTTCATTGGCTGCTCCCTGAAGGAAGATAGTCTCAAGGACTGGCTACGGCAGTCAGCTAAGCAGGTGACTACCAAAAGCCCAGACAGACCTGTCACAAATGTGCCCAGCACACACTCCAGGTTGCTAATGGCCCTGACAAGCCCCTCATCTACCTCCTCACTGGTCCAAACCCCATGGGCTCAGCCAGCACTTTTTAAAAATATATCTATTCATTTTTTAATTGTAGTTGGACACAATACTTTTATTTTACTTATTTTTATGTGGTGCTGAGGATCAAACCCAGGGACTCGAACGTGCTAGGTGAGCACTCTACTGTTGAGCCACAACCCCAGCCCTCAGCCAGCACTTCTAAAGACACTTTGAGAGTAGGAGGAAGTCCCTTGGGACAAACTCTAGGCAGACATCGTATGTCATCTATTTTGAATCCAGGTTCTCTGCAGGCTTTGAATGCTAAACCTCTCAGCACAGCCTCAGAGGTTTGGCTAATCCTAGAACTCTAGGAATAGAGTTGGCTGAGGCTTGGGTCTTCTGTTGATGGTCAGTTGGGACCAGTCTTTATATTGAGGCTTAGCCCACCTAGGTAAACTCATTTAAATGGTGCTTGACTGTGGGACTTGAACTGTGCCTTTGTCAGCACTTCTGTCATTGGTGGGGCTTAGGGATGAGAACCTGAAAAGAGGCAGGACCAGGCAGGCCCATTTGCTAAACTACTGGACTACCTGCTGTTTTTTTTGCCCACTGCCTTGCAGGGATCTGGTGGGAAAGTAGGTCTCCTTTGGGGTTAGGTAGGCAGGATATCGTGCACAGGCTGGAACAGCTCATATGCTTTTCCCTCTGCTGAGAACTTCATTATGTAACTGACCCCCCAGAGCACTGAGACCTCACCATGCTCCATCAGCTTGGTTATAGTTTGTCCCCTCCCTACATTTCTGCACAGAAGCCTCAGAGAAAAGCTCTGAAGACCAGGGGAATGCTGACTCAGCAGGAGATCAGGAACATCCATGTGAGTGTCCTGTGTTGACCTCCCCTTATGGGCCCAAGGTGGTCCTCCTGGGTTTGCATAGCTTTTGTCTTCTGGGAGGGGCTATTTGTAGGGCATGCTGGAAGTGTTGCCTCTCTCAGGCCATAGAACAAAGAAATCCAGCCTTGCATCCTTAGAGAGGGTAGTGGGCAACCTCTGGCATGACCTTGGCTTAAGATCAAGGAGATCCAGTTCTTGTGGGAGTAGTAGGTCATGGAAGACCTGGATTTGTCACCTTCTTCAAACATCTACTTCTATTCAAGTTGAACCTCAGAGAAACCAACTAGGGCCCAGAAAAAAACTTTCTAGATCCAGAGCTGCTTGTGGGATGGTAATGGATTCCCTTGATGAGCCTTCCCCTGCAAAACCCCAAGCTGACCTCTGGCCTCTGTCCCAGGCCCTGTGGCTACTGGGGCCTTTTCTCCCAGGGATTTAGTGGGAAAATGTCAAAAGAAAGTGAGTCTAGGCCCTAGGATGGGCTGTGTTACCAGTCTCAGTAATGAACTGGTAGATCAGGAGAGTATTCTCCTGATCCTCATCTATGAGCAGGGGACCGGTATCAATCATGGCCTGAAGGTTGCTGGGGGAATAAATTCCCTGCTCACCTAACATGGCAGAATAGACTATTTTACTGGGATAATGGCCTGTTTGTTTTTAATGAATGATAGAAAGTGGTCAGATAATTCTAACAGGATTCTTTTTTCCAACAGGTAAAGCGCCACCTGGACCCACTACCTGCAGGCTATTTTTACAATGGCACTCAGTTTGTTAACTTCTTTGGTGACAAGACCGATTTTCACCCACGTATCCTTAGGAGCAGCTCCGTTTCTGAGTAGAAACTGAGGCAGTCTGGGAGGTGCAAGCCTGTCTGTAAAGCAGGTGTCTGCTAGGGCCAGCACAGCCAAGCCCCTGGAGCAATCAGGGTCCTGCAGTATCAGGGACTGGGGAAACAGGAGCAAACTAAAGAGTTACACTTTGCATTTTGACCTTTTAAAGCTGTCAAAATTGGATTTGTCAGATGGATGCTCTGGCATGAGTCTGTAGTATCAGCTACTTAGGAGACTGAGGGGTGGGAGGATCACCTGAGACCAGGCTGGGCACTATATAGAGACCCTGTCTCAAAAAGGAACAACAATAATAATAACAAAAGTTTAATTTGTCCTTTATTGAGTGATTTTTCAAGTTACCCTGTGGGGTATAGTTTGAATGGAGCTGTAGTGACACCCTGAGTTTTGTAGTCACCACAGTCATGATTTATAAGTTGGAAATAGCCTGATAATAATAGTTAATCTCTGAAAGATAAGCAGAGTAAACTGTGAGACTGGGGATCCACTGTGTGCTAATGAAGCTGCATTCTGGGACCTCATAAAGGCCCTGTGCCAATACCTGTCACAATTTTTGTAGGTGCGATACTGCCTGTCAGTTACCTCAGTGTCCCCTTCCTCACCTGCTTCCTTGGGGCCAGGAAGGTTTCCATATCCTCTAGGCTCAGGGCTCTCTTCCTTAACTAGTTACCAGTCATGGATCAGTTCATGAATGACTATGTAGAAGAAGCAAACCGGGAAATTGAGAGGTACAACCGGGAGCTGGAGCAGCAGGAGTACCATGACCTCTTTGAGCAGAAGTCCTAGAGGAAGCTGGGTCCATATACCCACCAGAGATGGACAAATGGGGTGTCTAACCCCAGCTCTCCCAGGCACCCTCCTGGAGGGGCTGTCTTTGTCCTCCTTGACTTTTGCGTGCTGCTGGAGTACATGTTATCATTTTTCTCTCTACAGCGCTGAAAGGCATCACCTGCACCACTGATTGGGGGGTGGGGGTGGGGATCCTCAAGGATGAGCAGACAGGACTGCCCATTGTGTGCAGCTGTCAGTCCAGGCCCTCTGGGTCTCTGGTAACAGTAGATTTTTTGAGCTGCTGAGGTACCATGTAAAGGGAGAAGCATTTGCATTGCACAAAGGAACTGCCAGGACTTAGAAGGAACCCTGGCTGCCCCACCATGGCAGTGCCTGGGTAATAAGACCACTCCAGGCCTCAGGCCTCAGATACTACCCCAGGACCCTCATCCCCAGTGGGGCTTGCTGCTTCTGCTTAGGTCCTTTCATTAAAGGAGCTGGCCCTATTGGCCCTAGGCCTGGTCTGTGGGGGAGCAGCACAAGCCCTGCCCAAGCCCAACCCATATAGCCAGCTAAGATCCACAGCATGTTCGAAAATGAGGGGATTTCCCTTGTGGATTAAACTGAGAAAAAGGCATGTTTTCTAGAAGTGTGTGGCTCTTCAGTTGATATCAGCAGTCCCCTTGTGATTCATTCTGAGCTCTCTTGTGGTATCACTTTGTGTCCCAAATTCAGGGACAAGACCAAACCTATGGCCCAAGGCCTATTGACACTGGTTTCCTATCAAGGGGAGCATCCTGCAAGTAGTTAGTCTTAGGCCCAGGGAAGGTCTGCTTTTCAGCCACAAACTTCAGAAAACTCATGCCCTCACCCCCCAACCATTGTTTCTTTTTTTTAAACTCTTTTTTTGTTTTTGTTTTTTTTTTTTAATATTTATTTTTTAGTATTCGGCAGACACAACATCTTTGTTTGTATATGTGGTGCTGAGGATCGAACCCGGGCCACACGCATGCCAGGCGAGTGCGCTACCGCTTGAGCCATATCTCCAGCCCCTCCAACCATTGTTTCTTAACCCTGAGTTTTCTTGGCTCCAATGGATCAGAAATGTCAAAGAATTCTAATATGCAAGTTAAAATTCCTTCCAGTGGCTTTGTTTTCAGATGGACCATAAAGCAAAGGGGAATTAAATTGTGTTCCATATCTGACCTTCATAGTTAGTGTGGGGGACAGGAGATCACAGGCACTGATATTTAGGTGATATCTATTAGGATTTCAGCACCTCAGCTGCCTAGGTTGTAAATGTTTTCTGAATTTCATGTTCTTTTGCATGCCTTAGAAAGAAGCACATAGGTAAAACCAGCATAGTTTCCTGTAATGTAGAGGGGGTTTTGGGAAAGACCCTTGTTGCAGAGGATGGAGCCAGGATGGAGCACATGGAGTCTGTGTGCAGAGTCACACAGCAGCCTGCAATGCAAGTAACAAAGCAGTTATCAAGGGCTCGTCAGTAAAATATACGTGTATTAGAGAAAAACAATTTATGCTTGAAATCAAATGAATAAAATTACAAATACCATTGAATGAGAAATCTTGCATTAAGAAAGGCTCCTGAAATTCAGATCCATGTGCTTCAGTCCTACCTCCAAAAGCCACTGGTGACAAGGGCTTCTCTGTGGAGCCCAAGTCTGGGAGCCCTGACTTCTGGCTGGCCAGAGTTCAGGGCCACAAAGGGCCTGCCTCTGCTTCAAAATCAATAACATAGATCTTAAGTGCAATTGATTAATAAGCAATGAGTTACTGTGGCTTCCTTTAGCTCTACCGAGCTCTTTTTAAAAACTCAAACTTGAGCAGCCTTAGAAAAGGGAAGGGGGTGGGGGGGACACAGGCCATTTCATTTCCTCCAGGGGGTTGCTGTGAAGTTTTCAGTGGAAGCTCTAGATGTAGGAGCATGAGCCATTTCCTGGCTGCCCTGGCCTGGCAGTCTGGCTGCTGCACAAGAGTTTTTAAAGGGGGGTCGGAGCCCACCCATGAAAGTGGGCCTCCCACCACGTGGGGCTGCACTACATGGTGATCTTGATTTCTGACCATTGTCCATAGAAATGCTCTCTCGCCAACCTGCCCCACTGTCCCCATTCCTCTCTTTGTAGAGGAAAAACTGTGATTACCTCAACATGAATACGAAACTGTGATTGAAAAAAGGCAAAATGTTAAGAAGTATCAAAGCCAAAATGACAAAACTGGCTGAGGCCTCTACAGACACTCCCCAGCCTGCTCGGGAGTGCGAAAGGGCACCGTGGTGAAAGGGCATTCCTGGGCACACTTGCTGTGCTCCTGGTGAAGGGCACAGTAGCTGCACACTGTGAGCTCTTTGAGGACTGGGGCTGGGAGCATGCAAGCCTCTCTCGTTCTGACTGTAGAGTTTAATATCCACTTTATCCTGTGGGTCAGGGAGCAGGGTCGTAGGCTGTTTCCAGAGAAAAGGCCATGACACTGTGTTTTGATCTTAGAAGTGGATACCAGGGACCCAGCAAAGACAGGGGGTTCATTTCCCAGGGACAGGCAGAAGTCCTCCAGGGGCTTACATGCTTTTTGCCAACTTTCCTGTTAGCAGCTTCAGTTTTATATCACCAGAGTGAGTGGAATAATGGTGAAATCACTGAAGTTATGGTTTATTTTCCTTTTTTTTCGGGGGGGGGGGTGTCTTCCATTTCTCTTTCTCCCTAATTGAAAGGAGGAGGCAGAAATTGGAGAAGATGGATCACCCTAGGAGGGGGCAACAGGCAAGAAGTTTAGTTTGCCCTGCTGATCCCTGAGGCTCTCGGATCTGAAGCCTGGACACTGGCCCTTCAGGTGTGATACAAAGTTCCCTCCTAAATTCTATTAGGATTTTGGAGAATTTTTGCACAGTAATAAGCTCTGGGTTGCTCTTTGGGCTTCTCAAAAGGGAAAAGTTCAACTCAAAAGATTGTAAACTATGAAGTATTCCAGCCATGTTGCTGACTAGTTGGATAGATGTACCTCAAAAAGTAGGTGAGAAATGGCTTTCTCAGTGTCCACTAATGACATAAGAGCTCACTTATGTGCCAAAATTCACTTTTATACTAGTTTTTCAGTGCTTTAATATTTGTAACTTAAATTTTAAAACTCATATTTACAAACACTACTGTAACTTCAGTGAAACTGAATTGTGTGATTGAAGCTTTTTGCTTATTATAATATTTATTACACTACTTAATTCAGTAAATATATAAAAAGTAGTCTTCAATTTATTTTTATATTATTTTACATGTTTTTACCTGCAGTTGTGTATGTGAATTTACCTTGGTAATTAAGATGTAATGCTAAAGACCAATAAACTATCATTGAACAAGCAAGGCTTCCCATTATTGCCTAGCATGTAGACTATCTCAAGGTGTCCCTGGGATAATATGGAGAAGGGACACCTCTAGGGCCTGGGGACCTTCCATCAGCCTGGCTGGGACTCCCCTTTGCTGGGGCTGGGGCTCACTTTTCTCTCTCCAGTCCTTAGATACTCATGGAGGACAGAATTCATACAAAGAAACCACCCTGGTTCGCAGGGTGGGCATTTGGAGAACCCCAAAAGCTGGATAGGGGCTCAGGAAAACCTACTGAGCCCAGAGAAAGCTTTCCCACCTCTGCCTGCTAATGCCTCACCTTCCATTTTTTAGTGGTTATTTTTTTGGTTTTTCCTTTCTTTTGGGGGGTGCTGGGGATGGAACCCAGGGCCTCACATATGCTAGACAAGAGCTGTATCACTGAGCTGCACCCCCAACCCCTTGCCCTGTCTTTGCCCCAGCTCTGGGTAGAGCCCCAGCTCTGGCAGGGCTGTGTGGACTCATTTCTGCTCAGTAAAAGCTCTGTGAGGTGGCCCCTTGGTCCCACTTTATAAAATGTGGTGGCTAAGGCACAAATGGGTCCAGTAACTAGCACAGGTGGCAGAGCCTCTGTTCTTGCCCATGTTGAGTCATAGAGCCCTTGCAGTGCTTAGATCTGAAGCAGAGCCTTGGAATCTCAAGTTCTCAGAAGTTGGCTGGAGCCCTCAGAGCATTAGCAGAAGAAATACAAATGCAGGAACTGTTTGAGGGCATCCCAGGTTCCTCTCACCAGGCATCCACCGCAGGTGGTTCAGACCTCCCTCGATTTACCCCCCACCCCCACAGGATCCAATGCCTGTGGGGGAAAGGGCTGATCTGGGAGGACACCCACCCCAGGCAGCCTAGTCCATAAAGAGCCTGTTTCCTGTCACACACATGCCGGCCCAGGGCAAGGGGAAGTGCCCCATGGACAGATTTGGTTGCTGGCCCAAAGAGGAAGGTGCAGCCTCCACGGGTGTCTTCCTGAAACAGTTGGGATGATGGTAGAAGTTCTCTGAGATCAGTTAGACATGTACAAGTCAAATGCAATACTGCACGGAGGGGTCTGATAGAGAAGCACCATCACCCTCCCCAAATCCCTTTCCCCTGGAGCCTCCTGCCTCCCATTCTACAGAATGCAGGCTTGAGCTCCTGTGCTTTCACTTCCGCCAAACCTCCAGGGCCTGGAAATTAACCTCCAAGAATTGCCAGGGAATTGTGGGGGAGATGCTAAATGTCCAAGGGCTTCCTGGCCTGGGTAATCTTTGAGAGTCAGGGAAACTTTTGAGTGTCAGAAAAGGGATAGTGAAGGGGGGGCCCTTCAGTGGGGACAGAGGACAACTGAAACTTGAGGGCTGTTTGACAGTAGAATGGAGACCCAGAAGCAGGAATCCTGGTGGTACAGACTTGTGTGATTTAGAGCAGAATTTCATGTAGAGCAGTTGATAATTGACAGGGCTCTCTGAAGAGCACAGAGAAATAGTGATATACTAATTTCTATCCCGCACTCTAGGGGACAATCAAGCCCAGACAAAACATAACCATACACCCTACTTCTAGTCCATGACAAAAAGGAACAACTTGATTACCACTAACAGAGACCAAAATAAAACCAGCTTCAAGTTCATCTGGACCTGAGTGCTCAGATGGTATTAGGGTCCTCACTTCATCCTTGGTGGCCTCACTCTCCCCTATCAATAGCATCTTCTATGTCACCAATAGCCTTAACACCCCCAAAGGCAAGACCCCTCCTCCAGAGGCATCCACAAAGTCTGGGGTCCTATTCCCAACCCTGATCCCTCACAATGCACAGGAAAAATGGAATAGTCTAGTTAGGCATGATGGTGTACACCTGTAATTTCAGCAACTCTGGAGGCTGAGGCAGGAGGACTACAAGTTTGAGGCCAGCTCAGCAACTAGCAAGACTGTCTCCAAATAAAAAGGGCTAAGGTAATTGAATCCCTTGGATTCAATTCCCCAGTATCAAAAATAAATAAATAAAATATAAAATGGAAAATTTTGTGGGGGGGATACTGGAAATGAAACTCAGGGGCACTCCACTGCTGAGCTATACCCCAGTTCTTTTTCTTTCTTTGTTTATTCTGTGGTACTGGAGAGTGATCATCAAGCTTCATCCTCAGCCCTTTTAAAAATTTTCTTGCCTGGCATGGTGGTACATGCTTGTAATCCCAGTGATCAGGGAAGCTGAGGCAGGAGGATTGCCAGCCTCAGCAATTTTGTGAGACCCTGTCTCAAAAAGTGCTGGGGATATGGCTCAATGGTAAAGTGCCCTTGGTTCAATCCCCAGGACCAAAAAAAAGTAACCCCCTCAAAAAAAAAAAAAATTGAGGCTGGGGTTGTGGCTCAGAGGTAGAGCGCTCGCCTAGCATGCATGAGGCACTGGGTTTGATCCTCAGCACTGTTAGGCTCGAATTTGGGACCCCCAAAAGACCGCCAGAGACCAAGATTGATGTAAGCAGCAAAGAGGTGTTTATTGCAAGCTAGCTCAGATGCTGAGGCCCTGAGCCCAGGGTTTGCAACAGTTTTATACACTCTGGGGAAGGCAAGGACTTCACAT